CCGACTAGAGATGCATGTCAACAACAGAGTTTGCTGTGGTCTCCTCAGCAATTCATGGCGATCGTACTTGGGTCCTGTTCGCAGTTTAAACAGAAGCCCTTCGACTCCGAGTTGGAAGAGATATGCAGATAGCTTGTCTACAGGAGTCCTGAGGAGATGGGTGCCCGTTCCTTCACAGTGCAACAGCAAGCAAACCGGCATTCGAAAAAGAGGGAGGTCTGATGCAAAGCCTGCAAACAAATAGCAAGACCTTACAGTCTTCACGCTCCTCGTTCTCTTTTCCTCCCCTTGCTTGCACCTGCTGCCCATGCACTTTTCCAACCAACAATCAACAAGCGGTGCAGGAATGTCAGGTAGTATCAACATGCATCGCCGACCATCGGCATTATTTCAACTGTCACTAACGACTTCCCGGCCTCGTGTTCAGATCCTTTTGGAACCCATTTTTGCTTCCCAACAGACACTCGTCCACCTCCACCAGATCCCTGACACAATTGCATTTCTACCCGTGCGGTTCTCAATAGTCCACCAGGCAAGGAAAAAAACAACGGCAAGCACCAAACCGCCTTCGGCATGTCGCTGTCCTTGCCAGCCTGCCAACTTTTGATTTGATGACTAAGTTGGTGTGCCTGCTGTTCAAGAGACTGCAGTTGTTCATGCAACATGCACGCATCAAACCCCGCCGTATGGCCTACCGTCGACAACCGGGAGGCTCAGTTCTAACTGCTTGATGGCTCCGAGTCGGCTGCAGGATCAAAAACATGCAAAGACAAAGATCCATAAGCTTGCAAAGTTTCAACTACAGCGGGTGGCAACATGTTTCTTTGGCGGTCACAAATGTTGCGTTCTTGACATGAAACCACCACTTCCGAGACATTGTGAGCGGGACCTGTCGAGTTACTCGCCAAGGTGATGAGGTTGTAAGCCGTTCAAAAGACGTGCGACATGTGAGTAAAACTGCCGGAAGGGAAAAAAACAGTTGACGGCATCTTCCGGGACTTCGACTGCAATCGCGTCGTCGACATCTCTGCGCACTCCGCAATTGTGCTTGCGCTTGACGGGTTTGTCATTACTTTCGTGCAACGATCGCATGCTTTCCTTGCTTCAAGCGTGAGCACTCCAACACCCGAGACTTTCAACAAAAGCACATCCTGGAGCTCGCTTTGGAAGTTTCTCTGCGGACTGCGGACTGCACGCTGCTTTTTTTGCAGGACGGTCTGATCTGACGACAAATCTCTTGGCAACCGCATGTGTCGTCATTGCCACCTCACGCCAACCATATTGATCGACGCAAGTGGAAAGCGATCGCCAGCAGCGAACTGTCGGTCTTGGATGCAAAACAGCGAGATGCATCGTCGAATTTTAATTTCGACATTTTGATCACTGTCACCACCACAGCGCCAAGCCACACTCCTGCGTCGCCTCGTCTTCGGTCCGCCCCGCGGCCCAAGAAACAAAGAGCCAATGACAGAGAAGCACGAACACACACTGTAGCCCTCAAGCATGCGGCGCACACAGAACGACATGCAGTCATTTGCACTCTACGGCGCCGGGTCTGTTTACGTCACTTCAGTCAAGGATGCCGGCTCAAAACGCCCAGCTGCTTCCCCTGTGCTTCGGGAGCTTCACCGGGCCCTTGCCCCCCGGTTGCCCTCCTTGCTCCACGCATTTTGGGTTTCCTAACAGAGATTGTTTACAAATTTGAAACATTGCTTGTGAGGCAGACTCAAAGGGTTTTTTTAACTACATGTGAGTTGTCGAGACTCCATAAAGCGGGTTAAAAAGGGGACAAGATAGGGACATTAAGAGGGACAATAGCTCACTTATGTGTTGAACCGGCCCTGACCCCAAGTCCCCTAGGCATCTAGATACGATGCTGTCTGACTCGAAGTAACCCAAACAATTGTGCAACCGAGAGCTCAACCTAAACGTGGTGTGGCCAGGAATCAGTGACGTCTTTGCTGCAGTCATCTAGTTCACTACAGCAGTGACCTAGCTCGCTACTGCTGCCGATCTAAGCACGCAACTTGCAGCAAAGATGACCACACCGAAGACTTGCATGATGCACATCGCAAACCCTGACATGTGAAACTGAGAGACCGTGCAAAAGGATGTGCAGAGCTAGATGGTGCCTGCACAGCACTGATTCTCCGATTTCCTTCACAAATCACATCGCCCGGCCTTTCAGGTTGGCTGCCGCGGCAAAAAGCCGTAGCAGTCTAGCCTAGCAGTGATGCAGTCACGTGGAAGTCAAGTGGCCGATAACGGAGCCGAGGGTTGGGCTCGCTGGTGTCCTGGCGCAGTGAGGTTGATGCGCCTTCGACGCGTTGCCATGCTCCACCCTGCCAGAATCGGAGGCTAGGGAAGGATCCAACAGCAAAGGCAGTCTGGGGCTCCGCACTTCTTGTGAGTAGATGTCAATCTGATCAGCCTCGACTTGCTTGAGGGTGATTGGCTTCCTCTGCTTGATGGCCTCGTGACTTGGGCAAATGTCGGGACAGGCAGCAAACGAAACATGCCGAGAGCGGGTCGGTCGCCAAGTCGTCCACATTATTGAGGCAGGATCAAGGCGATCTTTTTGCTGCCAGCTTTCTGCAAGGAGTCGGTCACGAGGCACCTTCGGTGCACTAAAAACCAAAGACCTCAACGAGCTGACTCTGGAAACCACAGCGACAAGCTGGGTCTCCAGAAGTCAGGCTCTCCAGACCACAACTTCCAAGCAAGAGCCACGGAGGAAAGCCACAAAACCCATTTATTCCCTGCTAGTGCAAGCGCTCCTGCGGTCTGCGAAAAGGTAGTACCAAGCCTGCGGCGGTATTCGGCTCTCTGTGAAGAAGGCTGCTCGCTCCAGAAGGTAGAGGAAGGAGGCGCAAGCTGTGTGAAGAGCTACTTGGCGATCGCGAGGCAGAGAGGGTATGTAGGTGGTTGCTTCTACTTCTTGTAAGTAGATCTCCATCACACGCACTGATAACCACCTGCCCCTTCGCCTCACCAAATCTGGGTTCTCAGTAGCTTGCAGCATCCAAGTCGCCCCACCCGGGCGGAAAGAAGCCAGGTCAAAGTGGGCCACTCCGTCGCTGGAGACCAGCCCAAATCTAGCCTGAAGCTGCTTGAACCTCCGGCGCAGCGTGCCCGCCGAGAAAGGCCACAGCAAAGAGCTTCCAGGGAGCAGTCCAAAGGCGACGTCCAGCAGCTTAATGATGTCTGGGGGATCGATGTGTGCAGCTTGGTGCTTTGCCGAGCGGCCTCGGGTCTTCGGGCAAGAGATCTGCAGGAGGGCATACTCCGTGCCAGGCGCGGCGTCACGAGGCAGCACTAGGTCACGCCTGCGAGCGCCCAGAGCTTCACCTATCCGCAGCAGCCCCGACCAGCTCATAGCAAAGATGGCTGCCTCTCGGATCCATCCCCACATGATGGCAGCTGCTACGATAGCCAAGAGGGCCCCCTTTTGGGAGAGCCTTGTGATGGGCGTGAGGCTCCTCGGAGAGCCAGGCGAAGGCTAAGTCCCACGCAGCTCCCAGGTGTCGACGGATGCTAGGCCTTGCCGCTGCGATGGCATTTATCGTCTCAGAGTAGCGGTAGTAGGCCGCACCAGACCTGAAAAGAGCACGGCCGTAGGCGACCAACGTGTTGGCGACCTCCTCGGTTTTGTCAAGCGGCCAGCTGAGCATCTGCACGACAGAAGCCAGTTTGGCCTGGGCGAGCCAGGCATCAAAGTCCTCCAAGAGCTTGGCTCGGTTAGCCCGTGTCACAGGTTTTACAACACGGTCAGCGAACAGCTGTAGTGGTGCTCTGGCTTCGGCTCGTCTATGATCAGCTGGGGTCTTCGGCGCGGGCGGCTCCATGGCTGCGGCGCTAGGAAGCAACACGAAACCCAGAACCCGGAGAACCCTGAAAGAAAGCCAGCTAGCGGGGGGACGTTGGGCAACAGAGGCGAAAGAAGAGGCCCAAGTCAGGGCGAGTGCAACACTCAGTGGCGCAAGCTTGGTGTACACTAAGTCAAGGCAGAGGCGGTGCAAAGGTGAAGAGGCTCGAGCCCAAATGAGGGCGAGCTGCAAACAGGAGAAAAGCCGAGTGAAGTAGGACTTGCCGTGGTGGGCGGTCGCACAGGGCTGAGAAAAGAAAGAGGGTCCGATGGCAGAGCCAGGAGAAAAACCAGGTCCTTCACCAGGTAGCCCAGGGTGGAGTCGAAGTCACGCAAGCAGCCGCCAGAGTCGAGAGGCTCAGAGAGGATCACGTGAGGGACCGGCCCGTAGGAGATGAGGACCAGAAGGAAAAGGCGGCACCAGGAGGCAGCAGGGCCCCAAGTCCGTGAGTAGCCTATACAGGGAGGTTTTCACACAGCGACACCTCAGACGGTGCACGCAGGGCAGAGTGCCTAGTTGGGTCATCCGCTATGTTCAACCGAGTGGGGGCGAAACCCAAGGAGGTGTAGAGCCCATAGGCAAGCTGGATAGCGCAGGCGCGGGCCAACCCAGGCGTCAAGGCAAAGGAAGTGGACCGGCCCTTAGCTGCCGCCGCTTTTGCAACTGCTGAGTCTAGCAGGATGCTCAGCCTCGTGTCGGGGGCCTCAAGGGCGAGCTCGCGCAAGAGGACAACAAGCGAGGAGAGCTCCAGAACATTGATGTGATGAGCCCCCTTCCATCTGAGCACACGGCGCACCCTCCAGTCCTGGGTCATCAGCAAGTCGTTTGAGACGACGCTCTCAATGGCAGGGCGAGGTCTCTCGCGAGGGTTTGCACTAGCCAGCCCCGCCTCAAGCGCACGTGCGGCTGCCTCAACAAAACCCTTCGGTAAAGTGGAGGGCCAGCTGGTGCTCGGCAGCTGAGCCCCGGGGCGTCACAGCAGCAGGCTCTGGCGAGAGGGCTGATGGGGAGACCCGAGCTCAAGGTGAGGAGGCGTCTGCCAAAGCTGCACAAGCAAGCAGTATGCGAAATGTTGCCCGGCTTCAGCCCTCCATGGGTGCCAACTCCGAAGGGCAGAGGTGGCAGGCGCCACAATCAGGGCAGGTCGGCCGAAACGCTTTGCGAACCCATGGAAGATGAGGCAGCGAGAGGCAGCAGTCCAAGCTCGGTGCCGTCTTTTTGTACCACGGCCCTGCTGTGGCACGCAATGAGACCCCTAGGCGAATGCAGCACAAGAGAGCGGACCTTTCCCTCTTTGAGCACAGCGTAGAGCCACGTGGCAAAGTAGGGGTGCTGGGTGGCATAGTGCTCAGAGACGGCTGGGTGGATGGGCGGTCCTACCCGCAGGCCAAGTCGAGACGCTTCAACTGAGACTGGTCCACTCGGGTCCCCAATCTCAAGCAGGTCCAGCACAAAGGGGAGCGAGGCTGGAACAGCCTCAAAACCAGGAGGCGGGCCGACTGCCTCCTCACTAGTTTCACGGCGGTGGCCCCAACCGAGAGAATGCGGCACCGCCCAGCGGCCCGTTGCCGAGCCTCGCGCGATCGCCCAGGAGCTTTGTCTGGCCTCTGCTCTGCTGCCTCTGTGTGCGGCCAACATTGCTGTGCACCAGCACAACAAGATCTTTGCGACGGACGCTTCCCTGGCTTTGGGTGCCTTCTGCGAGGCTCCGGTAGACCCTGAGCTCGCCCATAGCATTTGGCTGAACGGGGATAGAAAAGGGGCCTATAGAGAACCTTGCACGAGACGGCCGCCAAAGCCTACGAGCTCCACCAGGTTGAAGGCTCCCCTGCCAAGGATGTCCTTGGAAGTACCCTTTTTCAAGCCATTGGTGCCGAGGTCGACTCTCAGCAGCCCCAAGTCTCTCGTGCCTGCGTGCCTGTTGCCGCGCCACTTGGCCGCAGGGTTGCTCTATGTGTGCTCAGCCTCCGCGCCGCCCGGCTGCCCATAACCTCCGCTACATTCACGGCTCTCGGGAGCCTGGGTCTCTTGTGCAATGCTCCGGCGATGCTTGATGTGCATCTTCCACAGAGTCTTCGGGCCTGAGTCCCGGAGCCCAGACGCCTCTGAAAGCCCGCCCGGCTGGGCACCAGCAGGGAGCGCGCTCAAGTTCACGAGATCATCTATCACGAGCGCTTGCCAAGTCGATCCTAGCGGTAAGGCCGAAGATCCTTGCATCCGCATGGATGGCCGCAGGGCCCCGCAGGACAAGAGCAACTGCGAGTGTCCTTCCAGCGCGAACTCCACGCCGAGATGATCGCCTTGCAGGAGCGACTTGAATGCTGGTACGTAGGTCGCCGAGGTTAGGAGGCCCGAAGGCGGGCTCCTCTGCGATCCACGCGAGGCAATGGCAAAAGCGCGGCTGAGTCAGCGAAGGCGGCTCCAGCATACTCGAAAGGAAGTCGGTTCGTGTCAGCGCGTGCCTCGGTCACAGACACCTGATGATAAAAATCCCGTCTGTCCGACACGTATGCAATGAGCTGTTGCCGTCGCCGCTTTAGGCGGAACGAGGTCAAAAGGCTTCCTTGGGGGAGGAACTTGGAGGGCCCTTCAAGGTGAAGCTCGGCACGGTTGCTCGGCCGTCGGTCGCCTATCTGGCGATCGGCCTCGATCGCTTCGTAGCTGTTAAAGATGCGACAGCTACGCTGGTAGGCTGCTTCAGGTTGCAATGGTTTGGCAAGGTGCAACAAACCTTTGGCGTCCCACAACAACGCCAACTTGAGGTGCTCTTCGGCACTCTCTTTTGCGAAGTCGGGGAGGTCGTTGGTCCCCAACGGGAGACCATGACGAAGGATGCCCGGCTCCTGGAACGGAAGCCAGAGCGGTCCTTCAAGGAACGGAGCTATCAACCAATGGCCTGAGCCGTGCAGCCGAATTCTTGAAACGTCCAAGGAGCGATAGGGCTGAAGTTGTGGGAGCTCGGCCGTAAGCGGCACGCTCGGGACAGCACCAAAAGAGGAAAGGAGGTCCGAGGAGCCACTCGAGCCCACATGCGCAAAGGCACCAGCAAAGGATTCAAGCTCAAGAAGGCGGGCGACGAGGTCCGGCCCGGAACGACCCGGTGGGAGTGGGAACTCTTCCGGGAAAAACACGCAACTACAAAGGAGCGAATGCGCCTGAAACACGCCACTTGAGACGCATTCGGCTCCCTCCAGAACAGGTGCTTTGGGGCCCAGCGGCCACAATCATGCAAAAAGTTGAGGGCGGCCACAACAATGTGCACGGTGCGACGCAGAATCAAACGCTGCTTCTGGGCTCGGGGCAAGTCTGGGGACGCTCGGCCGAAGACACCAAGGTGAGGCCAAGGCAAAGGAAAAGTTGCGGTGGCTGGGGCATTGCCGCAGCGGCTGGCAGGATGTACGAACGACATAGCCAAGTATGCCGAAAAGGGCGTGTGAGCCCGGAGCAGCCACCTCGGTAAGGCGGAAGCCCAGGCTCCAAAAGTGATCGTGGTGCCGAAGGATTTTGCCGCTTCATCACGAAGGGCGGCTGACGTGTCGTGGTGCTCTTTCCCATGCTTTCCCAGAGGCTGGTGGGCATCTGAAACCGGAACGGCCGAATTGGCCCTTCTGTACCCAGAATCCACAATTTCGCCTGCGGCCGAATTTGCCCTTCTGTACCCAGAATCCACAATTCCGGCGAGCTCATTGGATGGCCCTATGCTGGGTGAACTTGAGGGAGCGGAGTGAAGTGATGGGCCCCCTCTGCTGAAGCGCCTCACTGGGCAGCGTTCTGCTTCTTTCGGGGGGGCCTACGCCTCGATGGGACATCTGCTGCTTCCGCTGCCTGCTCGGTGGCCGGCTGTGGGCGACTGGGTCGCGTCTGCTCGGAGCGCCTTGCCTGTATCGTGTCCAATTCTCGGAGATGCGTGAGGATCACTGACACCCACTTCTGAGACGCTAGAGGGGCAAAGGCTCGCGCCCGAGAGGACGGGCCGGCACGAGCCATGAACATCGAGGATGGCGGTTCCTCCAGGAAAGTTAGCTGATATGCCACTTCCATCCTCCCCCGTCCAATGCTGCTTGTTCCAAGCACACAGCGAGGAGCGCGAGGTGGTCTTTCGCTAGCTCGGCTTGATCGTTCATCAGGGCGTCGTAGATTAGACCAACCTGGTATAGGCGAGAAGGCCCAGATCCCGGGAGCCCCCCCATCCTCCGAAACGCTCCCAGGGCAAGGTTTGCCGTCACTTGTTGGAAGAAGATGCCCTTTCCCATGGCCAGCTCCTCCTGAAGCTTGCGACTGGGCAAGCATGGCACGGGCCAAAGGGTCGCCTGAGGCCCCTTCGCGGAGAACCTCTTCCACATCTGCTGCCTCCTCGGCGTTCGTGGGGCGGATAGGCGTACCTGGGGCGGCGGACCCATCACAGAAGCGCCTTTGATGTGGCCCCCAGCCCGGAGGCTTGTGCAAGACTCAGAGGTTGCTTCAGTGGGGCAGCGGCCCCGCCATTCACCAGGGAGGACAGCGTGCTGCTTCTGGTCCATCTCGGCAAGCTTGCTGGAGATGGCAGGCAGAGCGGCGCAGAGGGTGTCCAATTGTGCCCGCTAGCTCAGCCATCGTTGGTCGCTTCGGCTTTTCTGCGGGCAGCTCGTGTGGTGGCTCGTCGCTTCCAGTGGCGGGCCGCTGCTGAGCTTGAGCTGCCTTTGGCCGAGAGAGGTGAAGCACCGGCCGGCCCCTCTTTTGTGCAGCGGTGGGCACCAGTGCTGGAGCTTCGGAAGGTCACACGCTCGAGGGCCGCCACATCGGGATCTGCAATCCAGGCCTGGGCTGCGGCAAGGGTGGCCTCTGGATCTGGCACCAGGTCGGGCGCCCCCACATCGAAAGCCACAAGCAGCTCTGGTGAGTCGGCAAGCTCGTAGGGGCTGAGGCGGCCTAAAGCTTCCACCGACAGGTCCACGAGGGTGATTTGCACTGACCTGCCGCCTGACGGAGCAAGGCCGGTGGCTGACAGCAAGGCTCCTGGCACCTCGAGCACATGTGCGGGCCCCACAACGGCATCCATTGAAGCAGCAAGGCCTGGGCCACCTCGGAGTCGTCCAGGATTCCACTGGGAAGGGCTAGGAGGAAACCCAGGTCTCGCTTGAGCACAGCCACTGCTAAGCACTCGATGGCCCCATCCCCATCGAAAGCCGGATGCTCGTACACCACCACCTGGCGCGACACATGGTAGGGGGTGAGCCCCTCTAGGCTGAAGTGAGAAGCCATAGCAGGCGCCAGCAGCGCAAGTTTAAGCCTTTGCTTCCAGCTCCGAGGGGAAGCCGTGCGACACCGCAGTGGACTCCGGGAACGGGCCCACAGCCCGGGAGTAATCTCTGAAGTTTCGGTACAGGCCAGGAGGGTGCCCCCCGCCTCCAACTGCAACGTAGAACCTCGAGGGCAGACTAAGTTGGGCAGAGGAGGCAGGAGTGCCCACGGTGCCCTCCAAGCACCGGCTCTCCAGGCCCGGCGGATTCGATCCTCGCCGGATAGGGTGCCCGCAGCGGTCAAGACAGCACTTTTTGCAACCCAATCTGAGGGAGCGAAGACTCAAGAGAAGACCTACAAGGCCAAGGCCTTACGTCTGGGCCCGGAGCCCTGCAAGTGGTCCTGAGCAGCAGGGCCTGGTGACGCGAGTGGAAGGTCTGGGTGGCAGTAAGAGGCCGCCGGCAGGCTGCGACCCGAAGGTGTTGGGCTGGCAACGGACGCTGCACGGGCGCCTTGATCCAAGGATCCTCGACGCACAGGAAGCTGGGGACTAAACCCAAAAGGGCCCGGAGGCCTGCAAGGGGTTAGGGCTGCGGCAAGGGGTCCTAGGGTTAGAGCCTAGGCCTAAACCACTAGGGCTAAAAGGACTTGCGGGGTGGTGGAAGGATCGGAGGTGTTCGGCCAGGGAGAGGGCAGAGTCCAAAGGACCCTCAATGGCCACAGAGCAGCCGCCGATATGGACAACCAGTGAAGTGCGGCTCTCAGCTCCGCTTTGCATGCGCTGCAGGCGTACGCGAGCTGGGGATTGGGAAGGAGGTTCACGCCCCAGAAGTCCAAAGTGAAAGCAGAGGTAGGCCGCTAGGCAAAGTCCAGACAGCAGGCCAATCACGAAGGTCAGGAGGAGAAGGGCAACGGAGGGTTGGGTGCAATACAGGGGACAACCAAGACCCCAAAAGTTCGAAGAGATCGCACCCTGAACCAGCCGGAGCCCAGACACGAAATCCATCAGCTTGAGCCACGGGCAGCCAGTTGCATTTCCCAGCCTATGTGTTCAGTCTCGAGTCTGGGTGGTCCTGCTGACATGCGATCGCCAACTCCACTTGACATGGTGCAGCGATGATGGCCTTTGGGGACACCTGAAACGCCCGCTCGAGCTCATCCTCGCCCTCAGGGTCTTGACGAGACCTTATCTGCGCAGAGGCGCTGCTCCAAAACGACCGGCAATCGGAATCCTCCTTGGGCCTCAGCTTGGCGGAAATCGTCCTATCCTGCGCGGCGAGCGGTGTCGAAACTCCCAGCCCCGAACCGCCTCCCGAAGCCCCCTCCCCGATGTGTCATGCTCCGCCACCCGGCCCTCGCCCACACCCCGCGCCAGGGCCCACCAAGCCCGGCCAAGAACTCAACGACAGAGCTAACACCGCGTGCGCTCACAACACTGTCCTTGTTCCGGGCGAGCTCCCGCACCCAGACGACGGACGTGGAGGTCGTGCCTGCAGAGCTTCGCAGAACACCAAAAGCAAGCTTGTATCTCGTTATGGGCAATCGCAAGAGCTTCGCCGGTTGTGAACTGCAAGCGAGAAGGACGAAGGAAAACGAGTGCCTCCAGTCTTCACTTCTGCGAGCTCCCTCTTCACGTCTGCGAGCCTTACGTCGAGCTCCGAGCTGACAAGGCATCAATCTCGTTGAAAAGGATCTCTCCTGCCACAAACCTCCTGAAATCGTGAAGCTCCTCGCTGCTCATCTTCTGCTGCTCGGACCAGACTCGCTCCATGCAAAGGGTCAAACCTTCCTTCAAGCCAGACTCCAACCTGGCTACGCAAACGTCTGCTATCTGCTGCACCGATGCCAGATCGGGGTGTTGAGCCGCAAACATGATGCTCCCGAAGAAGACCTCCACCTTGTCAGCAATCTCACGATCTGTCCCCGCCAGCAAGCCTCGCGTTGACTCACCGCTGCTGGTGGCCAGAAAATCGGCCCACTGGATTCTTGGTGGCTGAAAGGATGTGCTGCCTTCAGGATTGCAGATCAGGAGAAGGTTCGCGGGAGTCGGGTCCGGCACGTGAAAGTTCAGGCCGATCATAAGGAGCACATCGTGGACATACGAGAACAACAGCCCCAACAGCCGACCGCGTGTGACGGCACCGGCGCAAGCGCACTGCCCAGTCATCCAGTCCTGGACTGTGCAATTCGCCGACTGCCTCAATTCCACATGCACCTTGGCGTCTGGGAGGTCGTCGTGCTCGATGTGCAGAGGCTGCACGCCGAGTTTGGGAGAAAGACCCCTAAACACATGGATTGTAGACCGGCCGCCTTGACGCCAATTTCAGCACCTCTGACAACTGTCTCCTCCGACATCGCTAACAAAAACTTGTTTGCGGCGCGGATTTCCCGCGCTGCCATGTCTCTCGCCTTCTCATCCCCAGCTGTTACGGGAGTCTTCATCAAAGCATCTGCCAGCTTGAGTGCGTCATAGTGCCGAGGAAGAGTTGAGCTAAGAAAGACAGCCATGCCGACAGGGCAATCCTCGCTCTTAAGGTACACAGTTGTGCCACCTGTGAAGCTGTGCTCGGCATCCAATATAATATACAGTGCGACCACTTACTCAACGAAGCCTTGCACCTGGGGCAATCCCGCCCGCCTGTTCCGCACACACTCTCCTTTGCCGGTGGTAGACAGACCATCATCCGCGTGCAGGGCAGGGAGAGCGAGTACGGCGGCCACAAGGCGACGCCACATGGCTGCTCACATGATTTGAGGCTGCGCTATCGCGGAACTTCACTTGTCCAGCTTGTGGTGTTTTGTGGGCTGTGGGCCAACGAGGCCGGCACCGAAACAAATCCCATGTGTGACGATTTTCCTACATGCGCTCTGCAAGAAACCAAAGGAGAGCGGCAGATGAGACTCTGATGGATTCGCACCCGCACCTCAAGCTGGAGGACACAGAACTACACTGCATGGCACCGGGGCAACGCGAAGAAAACGACAAACGCCAGTGTGGAAACAGCATGAAAAAACAAACGCTTGCCCCGACCGAAACTGGGCCCTCACTGGGATTCAAGAACACTGCCCGAGCCTTCCAAAACTGCTCCAGAACAAGTCCACCCAAACTGCGTTTGGGGACAGGGAAAGTTGCGGGTGAAGCCACTACTCAAAAATGGGCTAAGTGTGCCAAATGACCACGTAGACTTCGAACCCCATGAAGCAAAACGCCATGCTTTTCGGATCATTTGAGCTTGTGAAATGCTTTTCTTCAAGGGGAGGTTTAGAGGCAAGGTGCCTGGGGCCGCAGGTTGAGCCGAGCTGTACAACGCCGCACACGCAGCGGAAGTACGCTTTAGCACAACTTCAGCCAGCTTCAGAGCCCCCAGACGTTCGACGATGCGGCGACGGCGGGCGGCGACGACGGCGGGCGACGGCGAACTGCGGGCGACGGCGAACGGCGGGGGCGTGCACGGCGAACGGCGGGGGCGGGCACGGCGACGACGACGACGGGCGACGACGGCGACCCGGCGAGGATGCACGGCTAGGACGCTCGATGGCGCACTCGGCTCGGACGATGAGCTCGAGGGACGACGCTCGGCTCGGACGACCCTGCGACGATGGTGACGGCAGCGGTGACAGTAAGCTTGAAGGCATGGCCCATTGCGAGAGATGGGGTGCTGCGGGGTTAGGGCGGCAAAGCATTCGCAAGGCAGCTGTGGATCAAACCTACTGCGGTGACGAAGGGGATTAGCGTGCCCTGAACCGAACAACCACACCCAAAAACAAAAACAGACGAAACCACTCAAACAAAATGGTACTGCGAAAGTCGGCGAGACCAACGAGACTACTGACTACAAAGCAAAAAATGGCATCACCGAGGAAAAAATCCATGAACATGCCGCCGCTCCAAGCAACAACCTCTTGCCCCCGCCACCCAAAAGAGGGGCGAGACAAGCGAGACATTAAGACAAAATCCCTTCTACCAGCCCGAGCCCGCCGGAGAGACGAGGGACACAAGCGAGACATTGCGAGAACTGCTTTGTTTTCGTGGTCTCGCTTGTCTCAGCAGGTCTGTCCCGCAAGGCCACGGCCCCAATCGGTGCTCATCCTCCAAAACCCCCGCGGATCCGGTCGACGATAGCCACAGGCTCGCGAACAAAAATCGTGCACTCACCTTCTCGGGGCTGGTTGTGTCGCTTTTGGCCGGCGGGCCCGGCCGGCAAGGTGTGTGAAACATAGGCAGGGCGCACCCCGAAAACCGGCGCCGGAGCGATTCCGTGATGCCCGGCGATTCCGTGTGGCTGTGTTCGACCCATCCTAAACCCTCCCCGACCAGGTTCCGAGGCTGGCTGGCACCGATTCGACAGGGAAGGGGCGATTCACCCGAAATCGTGCTCAAAACCCAGGCGGGGGACGCGCCGAAATCGGGCTCTCGCCTGCGCATGGTCGGCTCGCGAAACGGCCGGCTGCGGGGAGCCATCGGGGCACACCCTCCCCGGGCGGGTTCAAGATCCGAAAAAATTGGGGCGCGGCATGGTGTTTTAGGGGCATGCGTGTTTGGATTGATAAATGCCGGCAATGTAAAAAATGGATTTGGCGTGCCAGAACGCCACGCAGTAGCCCAGCGAAGCCAATCTCGTGCGTCTGTTGGATCTCTGGTCGGCGGATTGGAAGCACCGGGGGGCGGTGGGGCCGGGAGCATAAGAGAGTTTTGCAACGCTAGTGCTTTCGGGCACGGCGGCGTGGTCGGGGTGTCCAATGCCACCGGCCTGCGGGAGGCCTGCACTGCCGTCAACGGCTTTCTCAAGAGCCGCTTTCCGAACGGCACCTGGACGTCCATAGCTGTACTCTTCAACCGCGCATGGGGCGGCACCGTGACATTCAGAACATGGCCGGGCACTTGAATCATGCGCTTGCTCTGGGAGACGAGGGCGAGTGTGGATCGAAGATGACGAGGGAGACTCGACGGCCTGGCTGGCCGACAAGAAGGGGGAGCGAGAGCTGCCGGGGAGGTGGCTGGACATGCACGACAAGCCCGTCAGCTTCGATGCTCGCCGCTATCACATGGTGGAGCCACACGAGGGCAGCATCTTTCCGCTACCTCCGTGACATTCTGGGCCTAATGCGGGCCTAATGCGAGCTTACCGCGTAACTTCTCGAAATGACAGGAATGACAAGAATGACAAGCTCCAGCCGGCCGAAAAATTAATTAATTAATTAATTAATCAGTTTATTAATTAATTGATTCGTTTCACTGGAAGAACTTCGCCAACTTCGAAGTGAACTTCACGAACTTCGAAGTGAAGTTCACCAACTTCGATCTTCCAGGCATCAAGGCCATAATTAATTGTGTATTTTTTCTGGCCGGCTGAGCTTCTCATTCTTGTCATTCCTGTCATTCCTTTGGCTTGTACCCAGAGGAAGTAAAGAAAAGCGCTTTTTGCTCTCTCTGAGGAAGGTGTTCCAGCACTGCACTCTGTGACAGCTACAAGCCTCACGAGACACAGGTCAGAATTCGGTACTTCGGAGCACTGTCGATTCGCGGGCCTACGGTCCGCAGCTCTGACGATCTTAGGGACTCTAAAGTCTTTGCAAAACTGGCTTTAGAGGTGCTTTCGCGCGCAGCCAGCACTTCGAAGTGCTTCGTGGCACTGTCGAGCAGCTGACGAGCGACTTAAGAGCTACGGGCCAGCAGCTGACAAGCAACTTAAGAGCTGCAGCCCAGCAGCTGACGAGCGACGCAAGAGCTGCTGGCCAGCAGCTTTACGAGCGACTTGAGCTGCGAGCGGCTTAAGAGCCAGCAGGCTCGTGATTCGAGCTGGTACGCCTGGCGTCTAGCAACGATCTCGCAGCTTCCGAGCACAGCCATTGCGCAGAGGGGTCTGTCCTCTGCCATCCAGCGTGAGCTGCCCTGGCTGTAAACATGAAAGTGTAGGAAATCCACAACCCGCTCGAGTGACAGCTCACTAAGAGACGTTTGCACCGGTGCAGGCAAGGGCAGGTTGACCGCCTTATCCTCTTCATAGCATCTAAGCCTGACTTTCTGAATGATCCAGGAGCGCAGTGCTGCAAACACAGTGTGGCAGGGAGGCTGCTGTGACGGTGCGGGCGCCTCGAGGAGACGTTGTGGCAGGGAGTCCACGGTACCCAGCCGCTTGAGCGACTCCTCAGTGACGCGGTGTGAAGAGGGCAGCCCATAATCTTACTTGCTCCAGCCTGTGCAAGGGGAGGAAAACACGGCGGCGGTACATTTTTTTGGTTGGTCAACGAGGCCCATTCACGCCCAAAAAAAAAAAACTGAAGTCTCTGTCTGCGTCCCGTTTCGCTTGGCTGAAGTCTTGCACTGCCAACCGTATAGGAAACTACGGAGTCTCAGCGGTCCACGGCCTGGCATGGCAGATGGAGAAGAAGTCCAAGAGTCGCAAGCAGGCAGCTTGCTCCGGCAAAGAGTAAAGCGTGACAAACGTGAGACGCGGTCTCTGCGACACTGGCAAACAGTGTGGACTATCTGCTCTGGGCAAAGGTGCCAGCATGAATAACAACAGAGTGCTCACCTAGATGGCAAGTCCACGACCGCCAACACCGCAACAATCTTTCCAACACGGTGGCAGTGACATCCACCTGGATCAGCACGGCGGCTACTGCGCAGGTGAAGTAGTTGTGGCACTGAGAGCCGAAAAGCTCTGTCGGTACATTGATCAACCAATGCATATTGCCTGCACGTGTACCTGGAACCACCTCTTTTGGCAGTTCGCACAAACTCGGTTGGCACAAAAAAGTTCTTGTCGGTTGGATGATGCGCAAGCGTCATGGAAGCCTCAGAAGTTCCGCGAAGAGCCAAGGTTAGACTCAAAACAATGGACCCAATGCAACACCTGGAGATGGACAACGCCTTCCCTTCAAGTCTCTTTAAGAGAATCTTCAGGGAGGACTCTTAAGCCTTCCCTTCAAGCTTTCCTTCAAGAGTCTTTGAAGAGAAGCTCAAGAGGGGAGTTCTTCGACGTTTCCAAAGACTGGCAGCCCAAAAACCTCAACATAAATCCACGCGAAAACTGAAGACAACCGGTAGAATCCAAAACTCAAAGCTTCTGTTCCGGTTCCGAACACATCCCCAAAGTCATGTTTTCAAATCGAAAGTAGAATCGGTTGCGATCTTAAGTTTGGGAAGAGCAGACGCTCTTTCAATGAAGGCACCGTTTTCTTGGAAAGGATCTTTTTCAAAGGCACTCTTTGAAAGCGCTTCATGTTTCTGCTTGTCATTTTTTGCTCTTAAGCGATTTTGTGTGGCACCTGCTTTTTGTGTTGAGGACGTCTGTTCACGTTCTTTTTGTGCTTTCGGGAACTTGGTTTGGATTTAAAGGTCGAAACGTGAATCAAGTGTTAACTTTCCATATTGGCAGTCTAATATTGCATGAAAGAACATTCCGGAATTGGCTCCGTAATTCGAGCGTTCTGTTGGCCCATGTGTTGCAACGATGTCCGACGTGGAAGGCCCCCTCAAAGAGTGGAGTTGCCGCAGGAGTGTAGAACGTCCTTCGTAAATAAATGGTCCTTCCTCGTCTGCCTGTTGCTAGGAGACTTTGTCCGCCCGTCTGGCCCGCCTGCGACAGGAGCGTCGGGATGCAAAGGTGTGGTATTGTCTGCGTGTTGACAAGATGTCTTGATTGTCTTTCGTCCAAAGCAGGTAGAAGCGCGCAGAGTCGCTAAGATCCTGAAAGCAGAGCAAAAACGACTTCGCAAGGCATGGTTCTGTC